TCAAAACCAGAATCCAAACAAAACAGCTTTGAAAGGACAGTCCTGGCCAAATATCTGAGGCAGCTGTCGTCACCTGCTCTGGCCTTCATGCCTTCTCAGCAGCATGGTGACCCGGGGGACCAAGTGCCGGGAACGGAGTGGTCAAAACTGGAGAACATTCCCCCCTGTAACAACTTTCTGGTGTTTCTCTAGAAAGCCGAGGGTGGGAAGAACCACAAGAGTTTGAATATCTTTTGTAAAATGTGCACGTCTGCTTCTAGGGTGGATCAGAGTCTCATTGAAAATCAAGGGTAAGGGGTCTGCACAATAGAAATGGTCTCTAGGCGTTCCCTAGGCAACCTCCCCGACTCACCTCTCCTTACAGTAGAATCCTTGCTACACACCTGCCAATTGCCATAACTGTCGTGCCAGGGAGAAGAGAAAGCTGCTGTCTAAGGGTGATTTTTCTTTCCTCATATCAAATGGTGTTCATCTTTCGGGCTATCCTGTTCTCTGCGTGCATTGCTGGATCAGAGGAAGCGACGAGTGTTCTGTTGTTCCCTCTGCCACAAGCCAACAGCGCAGTCTCCAAAGTGCAGTCTCTCCTGAAGTTATGACCTTAAATGAAGCATGTTCAGAAATGTGCTCCTTAACTAAGCATGCTCAGGAACACACCCATCCTTAAGTGTGTGTGTGTATGTATGTATGTATGTATGTATGTATGTATGTATGTATGAATAATATATATATATATATCCCCACATAAAATCCCCCATGCTTCCTTTATTCAAGGAGGGCATTGCTTTGGAAATCATGCTGTATTTTCCTTCGTTGGTCAGGCTCTGAATCCCTCTGCTCTTTTGTGTCTCGGCCAGGGCCAGGCTTGTTCAGGTTTGCACTTACTGAGATGGGACCCTGTTGCTTTTGGTTACATAGCCAGACATGTCAAGCCAGAAATCAGAGCTGGCTTTTTGAAGCTGAAGAGTCTTGAATTGTTTGTTACTGCAATAAATCTGGCTAAGGTACACAAAGTGACATTTTCACATTGAAAACCTTGATGGGTTTGCTTAGGCACTGGAAGAGACACAGAAGCCTGAGTTTAGGAACATGGATTTTAAAGAGTAAAAATGATGTGTACAAGACAATGGGAAATAAAATACAGAAATCAGAAGTCTCAGCAAGGAAGCAGAAAATATTAAAAAATCGTGTGTTGGCTTGTAGACCAGGTGCATCACACTTGGAATTTTATGTTGCTTCTATTTAAAGTAAGCATACCACACACATGACATACATGAGTGTATTTTTGCTGGCAATCAAAGGAAAGCAGGGCTGTCATTCCACAAACGTGTAGTAGGCATCCAACCAAACTTTCCTAGCTTCTACAGCTTCAGAATATAGCAATCGACAGGTCTGAAAACCATAATGGAAGGTTAATTCTAATTACACACTCAGTAATAATTCACATCAATCAAGAAATATTGGTCCCGGTAATCC